TGGCCGCCACGTTTCCAACCAATAACATGGGAGTTGCACGGGGCTACTATATACCGCACATACACACAAACACACACACACCGCTTAAGACCACTGCAGATTGGTCAGACAAAAAATTATGTAATGTATGATGCTCAAAATAAGTGTAGTAGGTGCAAACCGTGCAAATATGTGATAAGCATAAGAAGGAGACTTTCCGTCATACTTCATGTAATTTTAGAACTGCAGTGCCGCCACATAAGAAAGACCATTTTCCTTCAGGCACATCAACTGGCCTGTCATGTTGAAGGTAATATTAATTAATATACAACTGTCAGAATTAATTTGTATAGCATTTTACAACGTTATTACGTCCTGTAATATTTGAGGTTTTCACGGCTGTGACTATGAAGAGTGCCGTCTTCTGGGACGTTGCTCCGTGTAGATCTTGTGTGAACCGACGTTTCAGTTCACACAAGATCTACACGGCGCCACATCTCAGAAGACGGAATTATTTGTATTACGTCCTATTCGTTATAGGGACCCAAATGTATATGGACTTGATATACATATGAGGTTGAATTGGGCTAGGTAAGGTTTTTCTAGGTTACAAGCAACAACAAGGATGCCAACCTTATATTGTAGTACCATACGAGCTCTATTCCAGGTTATCCAGACTATGGATTATCATGTATCTGAATGAACAAAATTTGAGGTTGCATAATGGGTAACCTGATCGTATCTTCAAAGTAGTAGTACTAAATAGCAGTCAGGAAATCTGCTTACCAACTTACATTTAAGCCTTGTAAAGCTGTTTTTACTGATGGCTCTAGAGAATTTAGGACAGAAGAACAAATTTTTAACTACTTTTAATTAACTTTATTCATTCTGGTCCATCACACTAGTCAGTACTATAGAATGATTTGATTATACCGACCAGTGTGACTCAAAAGTATATATATACATATGTGTGTGTGTTGCCTTTACGTGTTCGGTCAATTAATGACCATCTTCAGAAGGCAAATAACACTTGAGGAAACTGCTATTACATAAATCATAATACATCAAGTTCAAAGTTGTCCAAAGTTTTATATATAAAGATTTTAAAATAAACTAAAATGTGGGGAGTTAAAATAATAATAAAATTCTTTAATATTTAAAATCTTAAGCTACTAAGATTTGTGTCTTCATGCCTCTTCAATCAATGGGAGATTGGGTAGATTGCTGCCCTTGGAATTTTGGGTAGTGCATTTTCTTGTTTATATAGTTAAGAGCCTGTGTTTATTGTTGAGATGCTTCTCCTTTTGTTGTTTGTTGAGGCACTTTGAACTTGATGTACTATGATTTATGTAGTAGTAGTTTCCTCAAGTGAGGAGGAATGCATATAGAATATTGGTGGGAAAGCCAGAAGGAAAGAGACCACTGGGAAGACCAAGGTGTAGGTGGGTGAACATTATTAAAATGGATCTTAGAGAGATAGGTTGGGATGGTATGGATTGGATTGATCTGGCTCAGGATAGGGACCAGTGGAGGACTCTTGTGAACATGGTAATGAACCTTCAGGTTTCACAAAATGCTGGAAAATTTTGAGTAGCTACAGATTTGGCTTCTCCTCAAGAAGGGCTGAGCTCCATAAGTAAGTAAGTTTCCTCAAGTGTTGTTCTTTGCCTTCTGAAGATGGTCATTAATTGACCAAAACATATAAAGGCAACATATATATATAAAAGGGGTTGTCAAATGAAAGCAGGTCACCACGCATAACTCACACGGCACGCAAGTTGGTAACACTGGAGTTTGCTTACGGTACGAATATCTGGTTAGGACTTGGGAAAGCACAGTGACAACATGCCCTTGCACACTAATCGTTTGTTTATTGTGCTGGAAATAAGTTTAGCGCTACGTGTGGTTGTCCAGCATCAGTAATAAAGGCAGGTAAAGAAGAACAGTGAAGTGTAGTGTGCATTTTGACTGCTGAAGGAGTAGGAGGACGAGAAATTCATCACTGCATGTCTGTTGTTTATGGCAAACACAGCATGTCACGTTCGCATGTGCTGGCGCGTGGCATAAGAGATTCCGAGAGGGACGTGTGTCACTGCAAGATGATGCTTGCCCAGGGCAGGCTCATTGTGTCATCACTTCTGATATTATTGTTGCATTGAATGTTCATATCCGGGCAAACTGAGGGATCACTGTGGAAGAAATTAGTGTTTTGATGGGAATAAGTCATGGTTCCGTACATGCCATTGTGACAAAACATCTGCTGTACTGCAAAATCTGCGCGCAGTGGGTTCCACGTCAACTCACGGAGGAACGGAAGACTCAGAGAATGACTGCATCACTGGGTCACTTGCAATGATACCATGAGGAAGAGTATGCTTTTCTGTCCCATATTGCCACTGGAGACGAAACTTTGTGCCACCATTTTGAACCCGAGAACAAATGGCAGAGCCAACAGTGGAAACANTTAATTTTTAGAAAATCTGGAGTGAGGGGGCCCAGATGCTTGGTTTACCTGCTTGCCATCTTCCTGGCACTCATGGTTGTGAATAAGCAAGCTCAGTAACACTTCTGATGTGTGTTTTGGAAGTAACTGCTTTGAATTTCAGCTGAGACAATGGCTATCTTGACCCATGTTTTCGTGATTTTCCGTCCCTCCAGGCAAATGTAAGGATGGTAGCACAAATTAGGCCAGAACGACTTCCTTGCATATTCTTTTCAGGTAATTAGACGTGACAGTATTCTGCAATTCATTGCTGTAATAGGCTGTGGAGAGCAATCTTAAACAAATGACAAACAAATAAAGAAACAAGTACTCAGTTTTGTCTGGAAGTGGTTGCTTTTCTTGTCAATATAACAGTATATAGCTTCAATTTTAAAGAAGGCATACCACTAAAATTAATAGGTTAAAAGTTTACTAATTTAATTCAGTATTATATTGGAAATGACAATTTGAATCAATCCCAATAGCTGCTACATTACATGCATATCATGTTGATAGCCTTGGCTGTCATACATACATGGTGCAATCTAAAAGTTCTCAAAATATATTATTAAAAACTATTACGTCTTACCTGCATCTTATTCTGCACCATCACCTTCAAAGTAGTTCCCTTGGGAGCGCATACACTGATCCCAGCGTTTCTGCCACTTTTGAAGTGCATCCGGGAAGTCTTTCTTTGTTAGGGTGTTTAGTACCGTCTGCGTTTCCGCTTTGAAGTTCCTCAACTGTATCAAATTTTCGCCCCTTCAACTTGATATTCATCTTGGGAAGAGAAAAAAGTCACATGGAGATAAGTCTGGCGAGTTCAGTGGATGGGGAACAACTGCCATCTTGTTTTAGCCAAAAATTCCTGTACAGTGTAAGCTGTATGCAGTTGTGCGTTGTCATGGTGGAGTACCCAGTTGTTCGTGTGCCACTTCTCTGGACTGTTACTCCTCATGTTCTCACACAAACGCGTTAGAACATCGCGATAGAACTCTTTATTGAGTGTCTGACCAGGAGGGATGGACTCCTTATGAACAATCCCGTCAGTATAAAAAAAACAGATCAACATGGACTTAATGTTGCTCTTGACTTGTTGAGCTTTTTTTGGCCAATGTGAAGAAGGGCTCTTCCATTGCGA